TCCTGTACACTGAATCTATTGTATTGTATCAGCTTAAGCCTCAGTTACGGTTAGTGATTTATATGATTGTGATAAGTATTACTGTAGTATACTGGTAACTTTGTTGGTCTTAAAGGTGTAGGGCTGCCAGGTCCCCTCGTCGCTCCAGTGGTGGGATTTGGAGGGTGTTCCGGGGTGGGCAGAGGATTCTCTGTTATGTGGACGAAAGTCTATGGTATTTTTGCCCTCAAACCATAGCCTTTGCCCAAATATCAGAGCGTCCCCACACAATGTCCCCAACTTGATGATGTCACTCCCTGGTGACATCATCGCATGCAACGTCCCTGTTTAGGGGTGGGGTTTCCCCTGCCAGCCAGCTGGCCCATGGCGGGGAGAATTCCCTGAAACTGGGGGGTCCTCCAATCGGACCTGGGGACCGGCAAGACTTTAAAGGTGCCACTGGACTCTAACGTTGTTCTGCTGCTTCAGACCAACATAGCGACCCACCTGAAATCTAAAGACCCACTTGCTGCTGGACTCCAGTCTTGCTCTTCTATTGCAGACCAGCACAGCTACTCACCTAAGATATACTTCATAAAACAGGTTGTATGTAGGAAGCCATTCAGTTCAAAACATACCCCATGGGGTGCAAAGTGTGGAACAGCAGACTGGGCATGGCACGGTGCCTTGGGGTTCGGGCGCATGTGTGCCTAGATGTGCGCGGAAGACTGTCTCAAAGGGAGTTTGGGGAAGGAAATGAAACCCTGGAGAATGGCAATGCTCACAGTTTGTAAGGTAAAGGTAAAGGTTTCCCTTGCTCGAAAGCCAGTCGAGTCCGACTCTAGGGTTGCGGTGCTCATCTCCATTTCAAAGCCAAAGAGCCAGCACTGTCCGAAGACGTTTCCGTGGTCATGTGGCCGGCATGACTAGACGCCGAGGCGCACGGAATGCTGTTACCTTCCCACCGAAGTGGTACCTATTTATCTACTTGCAATTTCTTGCTTTCGGACTGCTAGGTTGGCAGGAGCTGGAACTAGAGACGGGAGCTCACTCCGTCATGCGGCAGCCCAGTCTCGAACTGCTGAACTACTGACCTTCCACAGCCTGCAGTTCAGCGTCTTAACCACTTGAGCCACCGCAGCAGTTTGTAAGCGAGCCTAAATGAGAGCCAGCGTGATGCAGAAGCCAGAACAGCGAGATGTGCAAAAGAAAATCCTCCCTGAATTCAGGGCCAGTCATGTACGGCTCTATCCATGGGGAGGTACTAACTGAACCTTCCTTGCTTTGTGTTGTATCCTGGCTGATTGGATCCCAGCCTGGAGCTGGCCCCGGGGGGGAGGGGAGTTTTCCCCCTATGGCTCTGGTTCAGCCGTGCCATTTCTTCAGGCCACCTAGAAAAGAAACTATTCTGTCAGTTGCAGGGGAAAGCCAACATGGTATAGCGGTTCGAGTGTTGGACTAGTATCTGGGAGACCCAGGTTTGAACCCTCACTCGACAACAGAATGACTTTCAATCTAGAAAAGACAAAAGAAATGCTAATGTAGCATTTTTTTCAATTTTTCCGAAAATTTCCATTTCCCCCCGAAAAAACCCGGGGAAAAAACGGGGTTTTTTCCGAGCTTCAAAATTTCCGGAAATTTTGCATCTCTAGCTGCGAGAGCTCTGAAAGAGCTGTGACTGACCCAAGGTCACCCAGCTGGCTTCACGTGGAGGAATGCAGAATCGAACCTGGTTCTCGACATTAGAGTCCATCGCTCTTAACCACTACACCACGCTGGCTATGGGGTGACCTTGGGCCAGTCACAACACTCTCAGCCTATTTCCACAGGGTTGATAAAATGGAGGACAGAAGAATGATATGAGCCACTAGGTCCCCACTGGGGAGAAAGGTAGGGTAGAATAACCAGTGTCGGTAGCGGTTAAAGTGTTGGACTAGTATTTGAGAGACCCGGGTTCAAATCTCCACTCTGCCATGGAAGCTTGCTGGGTGACCTTGGGCCAGTCATACATTCTCAGCCTAACTTACCTCACAGGGTTGTTGTGAGGATAAAATGGAGAAGAGGAGAATGCTGTAAGCCACATTGGGTTCCCATTGGGGTGAAAGGCAGGATATGAATAAAGTAAGTAAATAAAATAAACAAAGAGCAGGGCCTTTTCTGTTGTTGCCCCGAAGGTGCTGGGGATTGAACTTCCTCAGGCCGTGGGCCAGAGTGCTTCTGCCCCGAAGCTCGGCTACTTTTGTGCTTTTTCACTCTCTAGTTTCATTGACTTGTTAACATTTTTGGTATTTTTTAAAAAAGCAGGAGAGAACTAAGGAAATTGGCCTGTTTGGGCCCCTCAGAATATCCTGGAAGGGGAGAAATTAGATTTGGGATGGGAGAGCGGTAATTTTCCTGTCGTTTCTCTCCCCCTCCCCCTTCTCCCACTACAATTCCTCACAGCTCTTCTTGTATTACATATAATAATCGTTATTATTTTTTTTCGTTATTGGTTGGCTGTGAGCATTTCACTGCTTGTAGGTAATGGGGAAATGATTCTGCCTGGCTGCGACATTCCTTTTTTAAAACAATGTGGTGGTGATTGCTCTTTGGCCCGCTGTGATAAAGCTTCGGAGACAACATTCCACACCCTTTGTGTCTGGAATTCCATTATCTGCCTGGAAAGCAGATCCTTTTCCACCCTGTCTTTCTCTGTGTAAAAGGGCTCTCCCTCTGCTCTGTCTCACACTTGCAGGCCTGTACGCTCACACCCACACACAGGCAATATTTATGATGTGCGACAAGCTACACATAGCATCGTTCCCTCCCCAGAAGTCCCAGCTTACAGGCAGCCTGCACCAAGGCTTAGAAAGGCAAGGCGGTTATATAAACGGTTCCGGGAGGATAGTTTTAGCCGTGCTAGAAACTAGCATGTGTGCTCTCCATGCTCAGAGGGTTGTGGGATTGTGCCTGCTGGACCAAACTCCAGGCATCAATGAGTGCAGCCGAATGTCTGCAGGGAACCCAACCGGAATATAAGCCGGCTCTCACTTTCTGCAGTGGCACCCATCGTACAAGCCGCAAAACTCTCCTCCAACACCACATTTCAAAGGAAAGTAAATTCCTTTGGAATGTGGTGTTGGAGGAGAGTTTTACCGATGCCATGGACCACCAAAAAGACAAATGAGTGGGTTCCGGACCAAATCGAGCCTGAACTCTCCCTAGAAGCTAAAATGACTATCCTGTTTTGGTCACATTGTGGGAAGACAAGAGTCACTGGGAAAGACAGTAATGCTAGGAGATGTTGAAGGCGGCAGGAAAAGAGGAAGGCCCAACATGAGATGGATTGATTCGATCAAGGAAGCCAGGGCCCTCAGTTTGCAAGACCTGAGAATGGCTGTTAACATCAGGATGTTTTGGAGATCATGAATTGATAGGGTCGCCATAGGTTGGAGTCAGGGCTCTTTTTGTAGAAAAAGCCCAGCAGGAACTCATTAGCATAATAGGCCACACCCAACAGCAGAAACTCATTAGCATAATAGGCCACACACCCCAACAGCACAGTTCATTAGCATATTAGGCCACACCCCCATGTCTTCCCTTGACTTGCCCAGTTGCCCCACGGCTGCGGGATGCCTGGCAAGCTGGCCCTTAAATGCCTCCCCGATCCTTCCAGGGGGCCCCCCTACTTCGGAGTCGCTTGGGGGGGGGTTGCTCTTCAGGCCTTCCCTCTGAAGCCACGAGCACAGACGTTTTAGCTGTAGTGGGCGTGGCCAACTCTGAAGCCAGCCGGAACTCCGTTCCTGTGCGTTCCTGCCCCAAAATAGCCCTGGTTGGAATTAACTTGACGGCACTTAACACACACACACACACACACACACCGATCACACACACAGAAGCAATGTGTGAATGTTCATGGAGGCAAAGGGCTCCCTGCAGACACTGAATAGACAGGGCCAGGAAACTCATTCCTGCAGAGAGGGGCTGTGGCTCAGCAGTAGAGCATCTGCTCGGCATGCAGAAGGCCCCAGGTTCAATCCCCAGCATCTCAAGAGGCTTAGGTGATGTGAAAGACCTCATCCTGGGACCTTGAAGAGCCACTGCCAATCTGAGTAGGCAATACTGACCTTGATGGTCTGATTCAGCAATAAGGCAGCTTCATGAGTATTCTAGGGTTGCCACCCTCCAGGTGGGGACTGGAGATCTCCTGGAGTGACAGCAGACCTCCAGGCTTAACATAGATGGTGTATGTATTATTAATTCATTCAAAACATTTGCTCCACTTCTCCTGGTGAAAAGGGCTGCTTTGGAAGGTGGACCGGATGGCATTACGCCCGACTGAGGTCCCTCCCCTCCCTAAACCTGCACACACCCCTCAATCTCCAGGTATTTCTGAACCCAGAGTTGGCAACTCTGGTGTGTTCATGTGCTCCTCGATATGTGAAGGATGCACACTTTTAACAGATCTCTTGCTTCTGAGCAAAACGTGAGTGCCTCTTTTGTTAGCCGAGCTGGGGTGAAGCAATGGAGAGAGGGCTGAACCAATCTAGAGGCTGAATGGTGAGCCAGGAAGCCCTCAACTCTCAGGGGCCTCAGTTCTCCCATCTGCAAAATAGGGATAATAATTTTACCAGTGTTGTTGCAATCGTTGATGAGGTGGTGGTGGTGGTGGTGGAGCGCACACAAGAGCTTCTTAGGTCAGAGACTTGCTTCCCCCCCGCCTTATGTTATTTTCTGAAACTCTGACATTGTTAGGTGAGTCTGTGGAGGTCATTTTAGATTATACAAAAATTGCTTGCTTGCTTTTAACGGGCATACACGCGGAAGGGATATTTCCTGCCAGTCCCAAGTGTAGTTTCTCGCAACTGGAACAACATCCCAGTTATTCCCACAAGGAGGGAAGGACTCTATTGCTGATGATGGCGGTTCCTTAAATAATCGCTGGATTCTTGATTGTGACCTCTGAGCGCCGGGAGACCTTCCTGAGCCCAAGACGGACGGCTGCTCACTTCCTTGCATTGTCTTTTGCTTTCCTTCCAGTGCTTCTCCGAGAAGAGGTGTCTCAGCTCCAGGAGGAGGTTCACTTGCTCCGGCAAATGAAGGAAATGCTCACGAAAGATCTGGAAGAGACGCACGGCAGCAAGTCAACGGAGATCCTCTCCGCCACCGAACTCAAAGTCCAGCTGGCGCAGAAGGAGCAGGAGCTGGCAAGAGCCAAAGAAGCCCTTCAAGGTGAGAGCTGAACTTTCCTTCTCCGCTTGCTTCTCGCCGGCAGTGAACGTGGGCACCAATCCCCAGCTTCTCGGGGGTGTTTGATGTCTAGGGTGCCTCTGTGGGTTAGCATTAGAATTGTTCCAAACTAGCTCTGCTGAACTGGAGTAATTTTTATGGGTGTTTGAAAAGGGGGACCTGCCTCCTCCCTTTTCCGTGATTTTCCTGCCCGGCTTGCAAATGCACACTGTTTTCATTGCCCTCACTGCCCTTGCCCTCACTGCCCTTTGACTGGGTTGACTGCGACAACCCACTTGATTCTGATCATTCCGTCAGATGCAGCATCAAGAATAGTTGACGAGGATGTGTGGATCACCACCGTGACCGATCTGATCTAATAGCAGTGTGGGTAAATGAGGTCAAGGAAAGTGACGACAAAAAGTGGGGGGGGGGGAAGAGAAGGAAAATGGCAGGGAGTGAGATTGTTGTCATCTCCTGGGTGCTCTTGGGGCATGATGGCATCCTCTCCAGGCCCCTTCCGTCTACCATTTCCCTGTAACAGGGTGCTTTTCAGCTGTGAGGGTGCCTGCCTCATTACCAGTTCAGTTCAGTTAACCTTTATTGGCATAAAAATACCTTAAAAGAGGATTACTATAAAAAAGAAATATACATTTGAAACCATATAGAGCCATACATATAGAGCCTGGCATTTTGCCGACTGCATAACATTGCATAAAAGGTAAAGGCAAAGGTCCCCTTGCTCGAAAGCCAGTCGAATCCGACTCTAGGGTTGCGGTGCTCATCTCCATTTCAAAGCCGAAGAGCCAGCACTGTCCGAAGACGTTTCCGTGGTCATGTGGCCGGCATGACTAAACACCAAGGCGCGCGGAACGCTGTGACCTTCCCACCGAAGTGGTCCCTATTTATCTACTTGCAATTTCTTGCTTTCGAACTGCTAGGCTGGCAGGAGATAATATTGCATAGTGTTGCATAAAACAATTACTCATGGGTAGTTTTCCTGACGTAGGCCTCATTACCAATGAAAGGCCCATAAGGGGATAGGGAACTGGCCTATAGGGATGCAGGCACTGTGTCATGCATTCTTGCAACCCAGTTCTTCATTTCTAGATGCTCCTTTGGTCACTCCAAAGGGAGTCGTTTGTTGATCATCCAGAGGTCCCCCAAAGAGGAGAATATTTGGATTCTTCTGTGGATTTTTTATGGGTCCTCCACTAGTCCTTTTAAAAAGCCATCACAGCCAGTGGCCGTCACCCCCATCTTGTGACAGTGAGTTCCATAGGTTTAGTATGCAGTGTGTCGAGGAAGGTGTTCAGTTGTCTTATCCTGAACTCGCTGCCGGTCATTTGGATTTGGGAGACTTTTGAGTCCTGCTTTGTATGAGAAGTCCCTCCCACGCTCTCTTGAATGCATGCTTAGTCTGCAAAGTTGTTATCGCACCGTGCGTGTTCTGCAGATAGAATCGTAGGTTTTCACGTGCACACTGAGGGAGAACAAAGGCTCCGGTAGAAGGAACCTGGTTGGGATGCGGCTGACAGTGCCACCTAGGCCTACCTAACCGCCATCATTCTGCGTAGTGTTGCGTGGATTTGCAGGTACAGAAGAGAAGCCGGGCTTCCTCTCTTAACAAAACAGGATGCAAAGCGATTCTTCCCCTTGCTAAGCTCTGACAGTCCATCCATCCAAATCAGCGGCAGAGAGAAGCGATTTCCATGCCCCACGCTGGCACAGAGAAGCTCTAAATATAGACTCCGATCCCCCAGCATACTACACGTAGGTTTCATTCATCTGATTGCATTGCAAAGAGCCGCCTTCAGTTGGCTTTAGACGCCAAAGGTATGAATGCATAGGATATTTTGCAAGCAGGCAGGTGCAACGCTAGGGGACAAAAAATGTGATACCATCTACTACCATAAAGGCAGCTTCTTCTTCTTTTTTTTAAATATTATTTTTATTGTTATTATTTATATCGTTCTTATACACATACATTCACCGTTGGCCTGTCCAACAAAACACAGGAAGGCAGCTTCTAAGAGATGAAGAAAAACTCAGAATCTGCCGATTCCCTGCAAATAAAGTCTGGCATGTTCCATATTACCGAGTCTGCGGCATGTTCTAACCTGGATCTTTTTTTTAAAATTCAAAACGTTTCCTTTTATCTAACCACGGGCAGGAGTTTTGCGCATATGTTTTGTGCATGCAGACTGCTATGCACCCCATATGAATCCACAATGCATAGAAATTGCAGCGAAGATTCCAGACTTCTGATTGTAGAAGTACAATCTGAATTATAATAGTGGGGAGGGAATTACCTGAACTTTGCGGAGCCCACATTTCTGTGTGAGTAACTGTTGCCATGCTCCTTCATAGGAAGGAGCAGTGTCTGATGCAGAGATGCATCTGGCATCCTCTTAGGAGCGTGGGTAATTTAGCGTTAAGAAGTGACTGAAGGATCTATTTGTGAAGAATCATAGCAGGGTTGCACGCTCCCAGGTTAATTCTTATTAGGCTTAGCAGAAGGAGGGAAGGCCAGAGCAGTAAATCATGCAGAGAAACAGTGGGCATCTTCTTCTGCACAGGGGTATTTTAATAGTTTCATTACTTCGCTGAAGCGATTTTATGGCATTGGCTGATGATTGATTGATTCCCGGAATTGCTTTACTATGATTTTAATTATTCTACTGCTCTCAATAATATCGGTCTGCTCTTAATGGATCTGCTTTGCTGTGATTTTAGGTATTGATTTTTCTTTTTATATGTAGTAGGTGCTACTGTACTGCAAGGGGACGGCTATTTTTAAAAGCTTGCCGTTGCATTGATCGTTAATTGTTTTTATGTCTCTTGATCTTAGTGTTTACTGATTCATCTTTGTAAGCCTTATTGGGCATCTCTTTTGAGAGGTAGCAGATAAAGGCCATCGATTAATAAAATATCTTCCTCACGGAAGGACAAGGGTGCCACGGTGGAAAGTATGGGAATTACACAGAAAGCTTCTTTAAAGACAAACAACCTTTACGGCAGTGTGAGCTTTCTTGCGTTAGAGCTCACTTCATCAGATGCACTGGAGTGTACACCCAATCAGATTTAGGATTAGTTGGGGGATTTAGTGGGTTTACAGAAGGGTGGAGATTGAGGTCTTGATTACTCAGTCCTTGCAGCCAGGCTGTAAACTTATGTTTATCAGGGAAGGCCTTGGCCTCGATGCCCTGTTGTTGAACCTCCAGAGGAACTGGTTGGCTACTGTGTGAGACAGGATGCTGGACTAGATGGACCACTAGTCTGATCCAGCAGGGCTCTTCTTATGTTCTTATCAGGGAAGGCCTCGGCCTCGATGCCCTGTTGTTGAACCTCCAGAGGAACTGGTTGGCCACTGTGTGAGACAGGATGCTGGACTAGATGGACAACCGGTTTGATCCAGCAGGGCTCTTTTTATGTTCTTAAGACTTTCTCCATGTAGCTTATGTTGCAACAGAAGCAGTAAAAAAAAGGAAAGGAAAAAAGGTCAAGAGTGCAGTGGACATAAAATCTAATTAATCACAAACAGCCTAAAAACCAATTCCTAAAAAGTAGGTGGTATGTACACTATGAGTATTCATCTCTCCCTCTCACCCCGCACTGAAGATAAGTTTGGAAAGTAGGGTGAAAAAAAACATACTTAACCAAGAAAATACTTTTCTTAAACTAGGGTAGATTGGATCAGGAGTCACCATTGGCTGCTGGTCGTACAACTCGGTGGCAGCACGAGATGTTTGGCCACCTGAGGCGATGGCGGCAGCAGATGATGGCGCCAGCCAACTGCTGCTGCCACCACCTTCCCTCAGAAGCCCAGAAAATAACTGCCACGGCTTCTTTCTCTACCTCAGCTTGCCTTAAAAACAAGTACAGCGAGCCACCCTAGAGTGAACTCCCGTGAGGTTACTTTCTCTTGAGAGAGTGCTTTCTTGAGAGAGAGTTTGGCCACCGTCACCCTGGCAACAGACAACCAGAAAATGGCAGCTGAACTCTCAGAAGAAGAGAGAGTCTTGTGGGAGTTCTTGGACGGGGGGGGGGTTTCCACATGGCTTTTGAAGAAGCCTGGGGGAACAAAGAGGAACTCCCAGGTGGGGGTGGCTGTCAGGCGAAGGGCCAAGAGGTGGGATAAGAGGTTGTTATCCCCTAAATCTGCCATCTGAGGGAACCGCCTCAGGTGTTCTCATTGTAGAGCCGGCCCTGGTGCAGCCTGGTGCCCGCAGAAGACAGATGAAGTGGCTCTTAGGACCAGCGGACTCTCTCATTTGGCAGCAGAACCACTCAGCTTCTGCATCTGGGTTTACGCTTTTTAGCCACGCTTCGGAATCTCTGACAGCGCCTCTCTTTCGCATGATTCTCCGTCCCTGACGCGATTTTAGCGCCGGCCAAGTTTGTTCGTAACAGATGTTAATTTTCATTTGGAGATTGGAAACACCCGGCCGGCGCTGTTGCGTTCTTTGACGAGCGTTTTCACATTAAAAGCTTTTAGACTTGCAAAAAGAGAGAATTTTTGAAAAGAGGGGGGAGAAACCTGCTGAGATGCCACTTTTCCCGAGCCCCTTAAAATCCAGAAATCTGCTGAAGATGGGCTTTATTTCATTGTAGTCGGGATGCAAATGTGGGATTAGTCTGCTGCTTTTGAGGTAGATAAAAACACATTTCGGGTGAGGGTTTGAAAGCGTGTTTGCTGTGGCGCAGAGAATATGATAGGGTGCTGCTTGCTTTCCTCTTGGATAGGGAGAGGATCCTTTTGGGGTTTGGAGGAAATATGGAAAGGTTGCCACGTATGCCTCTTAGATGGAAACTGGGCAGAGTTCTCTGCCCTGTTGTCTTAACCCCAAAAATTCCCATTTTGATTCTGATTCTCTCTGGTGAACCTGGGATTGCGAGGGGGACGGGGACCGTTCTGTTTCCTGACACCAGTATATACCCATAAAATGTATACACATGTCAATGTTATTTAAGCATGAGTAAGTCAACATTACGGGCCACGG